TTGTTATGTGTTTAGGTTTTGGCCACTAAGAGTTAGTACTAATTAGGGTTTGGAGCTCTTTTTCGGGGGTTCTTCAGGTATGGTTCAAAATTAATGGCTAAAGCCTAATTTCAAAAGAAAAGAGCTCCAAAACCTAATTAGTACTAACTTTCGGTGACCAAAACCTAATTAGTACTAACTTTCGGTGACCAAAACCTAATTAGTACTAACAAGTTACCATCTTTCTAAATTAACTAGTCAAGATTGGCCCCCTGTATATGTTGGAAGGGGAAGCCAAAGCGTCTAATCTGCATGCAAGTATGCGAAGTGAAATGAATGGGTTGATCTATCCATGACCAAGTCAGACAGAGGATAATGCATCATTAACAGATTAAATCTCATCTTGATCGATGTGTAATCAAGATACTGTCAATTAAGCTTCTAGATTAACTACTTAGCTGAATAATTGGCAAACGTTTTCCACACACACATAATGAAAAGAAAAAAATATATTGGGCCCCCTAGGTTGGATAGGAGAACAATTTGCTGACCGGAAGCAACAGCGTCTGATCTGTGATCTGCATGCAAGTATGCGAATGTGAAATGAATAGGTTGAACCATGACCAAGTTTGTCTTTAGGGATTAACCAAGCGTCGTCTAATCTTTCTTGCTGCCTTGTAACATACGTACAACAGGCATACAGTTTTGACCAGTTTATAAACTCTGGCGGCCTGCTTAAGTCATTGTAGTACGTGGATATAGTTGATAGTCATTGCAGTGGACATAGTAAATATGTCGATCGTGGTTGAGGTTTGTAAATAACAGTGGGTATTCACATAGACCACCGGCCACCTCTGTACCTGCAGGCTTGTAGATGGGATTTTTTAGATGCTCTTATATACCAATGGAGTTTTTTTTTTTTGCTAAAGCATAGCAAGAATGAAGGACCTTTACTTTATATTGTTATATAACCATTGCCTTGTGAAGATCCACCAACATGGTCTATCCAATCTTCAATTGTATAATATATGCAATTGAAGATATATAACACAAGCGAATTTTGCAGATTTAAGATAGAAATGCATATCATGCAGCATTTCAATTATTGAACACTTGCATATTATGCAAAAACAAAATAGATTTGGATGGTGTTTGCCTCCAACATATTGAAAAGTCTTCTTCCATTGTTTGGTTTGGAAGTGAAACCATCAAACCAAACCAGGTGGCCGGCCGTTCCCCTCTCAGAAAAAGCGAATTAGCTAGCTAGAGGTAGAATTTGCTGACTATAGGTGGATTTCATTATTTTATCTACATTCAAATGCCGAATGCGGATGAAGATCGAATTTTAAGTTTGATGTCAACTTGATTGATGCAAGTGTTAAGAAAGTCAACCAGAACTAACAGATGATAGAGAACAAATCTTTACTTAGCTTCTTAGTGATGGAAGGCATTAAACTTTATGAGGGTGTGAATGAGACTCGAATGATGCTCCCATGATCATGAGATAATTAATGAACTTTCTATAATCAACAATGATCGAGATAATATGATTTTGCTGTTATAGAGGGGCTGCTAAGAGGAAGGCAGTTAGGCAGATAAAGAAGAAAAGAGGAGATGCAACTACAAGTCAATTGTCAAACATCCTTTAGAGTTCTAAAAGGTCACCTACTGTTGTATTAATTCAAGATGTATGCAAGTTGAAGAGAGCTGTCATGAACTTCTTCATTTCTAGCTAAATCAGAATAGTTAGGAATATCAATGTGCCTATTGCTTATCCCTATGGGAGGGAAACTTTAAGAGAACAGACACAAACATATATATTGGCACTAATGCTGTAATGCATTCTTGTGTATGAGCATGGGAATATATTCTATGTTGGACTGTGGCCATCTTCTGAACATTGTGGGGCAAGTGATAAAAGATATCAGAAATGTGCATGATTGTTGACAAATTTCAATTGCATGGTTGATATAATCTCTATTCCGAATCTAATTAATTTCTATAAATAGAGGTCTAAGGAATTGCAATTGCAATGAAGGGCTGGCCAGGATACAGTAAGCAGGAAGAGAGTTCTAACATGAGAATAGGAGGCTTGTTTGTTAGCCAAGGATGAATTGCCTAGCTATATCATATAATCAACTCTAATAATGGTTCTTACTACTGCTTCAGTAGAAGCTAGCTGATATGGTTCATAAGCAAGTCATGCTTGGCTTCTCTGACAGCCTCTTGTTTCATGCTAGATTTGTCTTCCTTAAGCTAGCAATGCTTTTCTATCAGTTGGCCACACTCAAATCTATGAGGAGGAAAAGCCGAAAAGGTGATGGTATATAGAGCTTAATTTAACATGCATTGATTGAGAGGAGCTTTAAGCATGAAATTGAAAACCAATAGAAAAAGTGTCTCTTATATATGATATGATGAAGATCATAAGATGAAAATTACCTAGTACCAACAAAGAAGCAAAGATGTCTTTTTAAGAGGTGGAACCTCAATGGGAAGACAACTAACTGTGGTGAACCATATATGATTAGTGCAAGAGATATTAGACGATAGAAATTAACAGAAAGGATAGATTGTATAGAGAGTTAGAAGTATGAATAGAGAGATATTAGAAGATAGAAAAATTAAGTTGCAGTCAGATCACATACTAGATAGATAATATAGAGGTTTTACTTCATAACCAAGTGCGATCTCATTAAAACATCTAAATATGGCAGTGCATCTCGTTTCTCACTATACAACATGAATGTTCCAGTAGCTCTAGATATATGATGACTAAACCCTAGGGGGTTATGACACTAATACTACCTGGTTATGACACTGATGCTACGATATGTTCTTTTCAGCCCACTCTTAGTTTTGCAAATTCTTCCAAGAAGTCCTCCTTGTCAACCAGTACCTAAAAATTAGAATGATGAAAAATATCAGCCATGTAACAATAGAAGATACAGGGATGCAGCTTTCTGTAGAATGAGATAAGGTAAACTAGGCATTCCGTACATTATTAATTTATTACCACTATCCAATTAAAGCATGGTTTGTGAATTGTTATCAATCTCATCAATCAACATGCCTTAAAGATTTATATATTTACTAAGAGCTGATAACAAGAACTGTTATTCTAGTTTGAACAGGTAAATGTTTTTAACTATTAACAGAGTTTCCAAAATGAATAGTTTTCTTTTTTTTTAATAAATCAGCAGAGATTCCTCTTTCACTGGCCAGTCAATGTCCCTAGATTATGACATGAGTATAATTTCAAAGTTTACATGAATGAGAAAGGATCGGGAATATATAAGAAACACAACATTTGCAATTCAGCATAGTTTAGCGATGATTTCTAACAAAAAAATAACTACGTAGATCATACATGCCTTTCATTCAATGATGGACATAATAATGAAAATGGTATAGTTTAATTTTCAATCTTTATTACTTTGCTTCCTCTTCAACAAATTTTAATATCAATAACCAGAAATCAGTATGCATTGCTGCTTATGCACGACCACTTGTTAAAACTATTAATTCTGATATGCATACTCTTATACACATTTGTTTTAATGATGGGAGCTATTTGTGTTTAGACCAACGATTTCGATCATTATATAGAAGGATGGACAATCATTATCTCTCTTTACCCTGTATTCATCTCCATTCTTCTAGCTCATCTCTCCTTGTCCCACTCTTCTTATAGTTCTTTCTACTCTTGTTCTTCTTCTCCTATTAGTATTCAAAAGAAATCCTAACCTTTAAATAGTTTCCTGAGAATATACTTATTGACAAGGATTTTATGAAATCTACATTCTGTTAGAATTTCATGATTCTGGCTGCCACACAATATCTGGTTCAAGATCAATGGCATTACTTAGAAAATCAATTATCAAAATAAATACATTCTTACCGTTGTCCAGCCATCTGGGTCCATAAATGAAGTAATTTTAGTGTTGAGTCCAGGTTGACAAGTTATCTTTCCTCCCAGCTCTTCTATAACAAGTTTTGCCGCCTCAGCACTTTTAAATACATCATCAGTACTTACTGTGAGCTGTTAAGTAATTAGCACATGTATCAGAAGAGTTGTGTTGAGTAAGACATTATTGGGGTAATGTGACAACTGACAACTAACTGACCTGGGTATACCCTTTACTACTTCTGTGATATTCAGTCACCCCATAAAGATATGTTAACTCCAAAACAGTTGTTTCATACTCGTTTGCATATCCCATTATCGCTTTATCGTACTGCACATTATAGAAGACAAAAATACAACAAAAATTTACAAAACTCAGAGGGAAATAACAAACCTCCTGAGATTTACACAAACATAATACATAAAAGTGTTTTGTGGTTTCAAAATCAACTACAACTAATAGGGAACAGAATGGGACCTTGTAGACACGGTTCTTAGACTTCCTCAATAACTTCATCCCTAAAACCTGCATGAATGTTCAGCTAGTTAGAATGCAGACGTCGAATCATATAGAAAGGGTCAAAGGAACCAGTGGTGGAGCCAGGGGGTGTGAGGGTATACAAGTGCGCACCCTCAGATTTGACATAGAAATATATTTTTACTTAGTATATGAAACTAGATTGCATATCAAGAATATATTCCTTTTTCTTAGGAAATTCTCCTAATAATTAGTCTCCCAATAAAAACAACCAGGGAGATACTTTTTAATAATCTAACCAATGAGATCAGTCGCCTAAATTTCCATATGGTTTTGTCCTTTTTATTAGGGAATTGTTTTATTAAATTAAAACTCTCTTTTATTGCAAGTCGATCGAGTCTCCACTACTGTCTTCTCCACTGTGCAGTTTCTTTTACTATTTGAGTAACTACCAACCAAAAAGATTTTCAAAAAGAAAAGGAATACATATACAAAAAAAGCTTCTTCTACTCATCAAATATAGATGAAGTGGAGACTAGAATTTGAGCTAGATTTGTTTGTTAATCAAATCATAAGGTACGAACTAGATTTTAAAACCCTATTAGTATGAATTTACCAAGAAATTCTTGCAATCACATAGGTTTTGTTTTAACCAGGTTGCTTTCTTGCTTATATGTTTGGTGTTATCTTAAATATTCAATTTCCATAAATCTATGATATAATATAGTGAAATATGGATACATATTTTTTGAGCTCAAAGTTCAAACGGTGGTTTTATGCAAAGATTGGAGTGAGGTGGATAAGGTCTTCATTCGTGGTTCGAGGATCTAGGAATCTCAAGAGAAGGGCAGAAAGGTTTGGGGAGAAGGAAAAAGC